GATTCCCGAGGAGCTATTAATGAATGTAGATCTTACAGTATTGGTGGAGGGTGGAAGGGGAAATGGAGAATCCAGTCTTTGCTTATGGTTGTTCTTAAATCAAAGATAGCAGAAAAGAAAGAATACACATGTATGGCAGAATACTTTTATCTGGACCAAAATATATTATATTCACATATATTCTTTGGATAATTGTATTTGGCTATGGACTGGTCAAGATCGTTTCAGTGTCCTGACTTGAAGGTAGTACTGCATGAAATAAATTGATCTTACCTTTCAAATTTTACATTAATGAATGAATGTTCATACATTTCAAAATAAAGATGCAAAGCATTTAAACAGTGTTAAGTATTTCTAAATTATCAATTTAATTTTCATTGATGTTTAATTTACCCGATTTTCATATTTACATTGTTTTGCCATCGCATCTTTTTTTTTTTTGCCCTAGATCACTGCATACAACAGACGTACCTTTGAGACAGCAAGACATAATTTGATCATTAATATAATGTCAGCGGAAGGTATGTACAGAAAATAGCTTGTTGCATTTTGAACTGAATAAGCAAAAACATCTTATGAGTTCCTATTCTTTTAAGATTAAAAAAATAATGTAAAATAGTTGTCTGGTGTTCAAGCCAAATGTGGGGGCACAAAGAGGAAGTAAGAGAGTTTTCTCTCTTTTTATTCAATTTGTAATTTTTATCTAAATTATTTCTGTCAGGTAAGGCTATTATTCCTTGTTCATTTTTAAAAAAAAAAGCATGTTTGCCTTTTTTATAATTAATTTCAATTTTTTTCCCTGTCTTTTCAAATGGCCCTTACATGAAGGATTTAAAAACTCTTTCTACATGTTGTTTAGTTTGTTTAATTCTGCATGTTCTTTATGCAGAGAACAGTCGTATAGGCAGATTCAGAAAACAACAGATTATGGCATATGTGGACATTTCAATTAAAAAATGTGAATAGTTTGTGTCCTTAAAATTAGTTCTCTTTATCGTATTTATAGATTTGTAGTCTGGAGTATTGCAGATTGGAATCCATTGTTACTGCAAATCAGTTTAGATCCCAAAATTAGCATGAATATAGTTTTATCTGTTTAGTGAAGATTTGCAAGCTGAGACTCTTTACCTCTAATGTGCTCCTTCGTCTCCCAGTTGCTTTATAAACAGCCAATGGTTTTCAGCTTAAGTAACAGTTAATATTGCTAACTATTTAATTAAATGTAATCACGTTAGGCTCAAAATGAGCTTATTCAAATACAAGATTTTTGGAAAGGTGCATCAATCTTGAAGTGGTATTATGTTAATCCTTACTGTAATTTCTTTGTAACGGAGCCTTTGTTTAAGGCAAAACTCTTCCTTTTTCATCACAACTAGATTTTCCTTTACCGTATCAAGCGGAGTTCTTCATAAGGAATATGAATGTAGAAGAAATGTTAGCAAGTGAAGTTCTTGGCGACTTTCTTGGAGCCGTGAAAAATGTATGGCAGCCAGAACGCTTGAATGCTATAAACATTACTTCAGCCCTCGACAGGGGAGGGAGAGTTCCACTTCCTATCAATGACATGAAAGAGGGGTAAGCACATTTGTCAGTCTGATGTTTTTGCTTTACTTTTTTTTTTTTTTTACTTAAAAGCTTCATATTTTTTCAGATTTTCTAGAAACTTTGCCATTTTATATTTTGGAAATCCAGATTGGTATTAGATATGAAAAGTTTACTGATATTCCTAACCCCTGTTATACCATGGGTTTGTCACATTAGATACCGTTTCAACGGGCAACAATACCTATATATATATTTTACAATCCACACTTCGCGCAAGCAGCTACATTTCAAACATTTAGTCAGTTAATGTATTATACCAAACTGCAACCATGACCTAATTTATGTTTCAGGATCCACCGATACATTATTACCTGGCCCAGCAGACTCTATTTTCCAGCAGCATTCCACATATTTAAATATGAAAATGAATGATGCAGTTTGTACAGTAGCTCTTCTTTTGTGTACTGTAATGCTGAATGAAGTATTACGTTTACATTCAGCTTTCACTATTTGGCAGATTTTGTCGGCAGTGCAGAGCTACAGTATGTCATCTTTTAGGAGAAGCTGGGGGCTTTGGCAGTTTCATATTAGTATTAGGTTTAGAAAGGACTAGCCCTTACAAATTTGATTTGAAAACATGAGGAGAACTTCTTTAAAAATACTATGCTGAAGATTTCCTTAAAGATTTTCTTAAGATAAAATTACACTCTTTTAATGCGATTTTCAAAACTAGTACAGATTTACTTACGTGAGGAACTTACACTTGGAGCTCTGTGTCTTCATAGAAGTTGACAACTCTAATGATGAGCAAACATTTACATTGTGCAGCAAAACAGAATAAGTTGTAATAAGTAGCTAAAAAAATCCTTTTGATTTCAGTCTGTTATTCATACACTTAGGTAAAGTATACTATCAAGAAAAATAATAAAAGTAATTTTGGTCTTTAAAGCACAGCTGAATGTCTCTGTGAACAATAGTAATGTTTGGAAGAGTATGTCATTGTCCTTTGGGGGTTAGTGAGAGGTATCCTGACAGTCTGTCACTCATCTCTTTCTGCAGCGTATATGTTATGGTTGGTGCAGATGTTCCATTCTCTTCCTGCTTACGAGAAGTGGAAAACCCACAAAATCAGCTGAGGTGCAGTCAAGAAATGGAGCCTGTAATAACCTGTGATAAAAAATTCCGTACTCAATTCCATATTGACTGGTGTAAAATCTCTCTGGTGAGTTATTTTATTATTGCATAAAAATGATGTTTGTAGAAGTACAGTATTTTATGCCAGACGTGATTTGGGTAAGAGTTTTGCCAGCCTGGCAAGACAGCTCTGCCAAATTTCACTTTATCATGACTGATGGACATTGTTTTCCATCTAACAGGCACTCTTAAGATTGTGAAAGGATTTTGCTATGTGGGCTGAACTCTGTTAGAGTTGAGCACCAGTGAAACCACCATATTCATTTTCAGTAGCAGTGATTTATAAAAATGGCCAGAGAACTGTAAAGCTTATAGAGGTAAAAGTAGTGAGAGAATTATTTAGGTAGGTGTAGTTCGTTAATTCAGTGTGTTAATACCGCTAGTTACACTTGCTTTCCTAAAATGTGCATGCGTATATATACTTTTTTCTCAAACAATGAGTCTACAGCACTGACAAGTTAAACAGTATTTATGTGCTGTTAAAAAATCTTTCTGAAAATTGTCTAAAACATTTAAAAGCGAAATAGAAAAAGAAGTGTTGAATAATGAAATAAAAATAAATGGGAACGTTCTTCTCAGTCGAATACAAGAAAAATGATGAGCAAACACTAGACTATTTGCCATGGAAAGAGTCTTAATTCCCAAAGAGGATTTTTAAGGTTATTTTTGTTTAGTTCTGGTAAGGAAAATCAAGAAATGATACAGTATTCAATGAGAACATTGCAGATAAATTTGAGCAAAGATGGTGAAGGTACGTAAACTGAGATGATTATTGAGCTACTTCAGACGTTACCCAAGAGGAGATATGAAAGGCTTTTGTATAATGTAAAGAATGTATTGAGTATGAGAAAAGGTGTTCATACACAAAATCAATTAGATAACTTCCAACCCTTTCTTTCTATTTGTTATAAATTAGGAAAACTGTTAGAATGCTGGAAAATACTTGTTTTCAAAAGAATGTCCAGATTATTTACTATTTATTTGCTTTCTGCAGATGTTATTTCTTTTTGTTAAGGCTTTTTGATACTGTCTCATAAGCAAGCTCAGGAACAGGGCCTAGATGAAGCTAGGACCTAGTGGAGAGCTGGTTGGATAGCCATAATCATAGCAGAATTATTAATAATCCCTTGCCATTCTTCATTAATAATCTGGATGGTGGAATGTGCTCAGCTTGTTGCCCTGAGACATGCCGGCTACACTGCAGCACACTTGAAGTCTTATGGAGATGAGCCAGAGGCTCCTGAGATAATAGGAGCCAACAGGGAAACACCAGTGAAATAATTGAAAGGAGTTTAGGGGTGTTCCTCTAAGAAGGTGACACGGCCAACAGCCCAGCTGAAGTGCCTCTACACCAATGCACACAGCATAGGCAACAAACAGGAGGAGCTGGAAGCCACCGTGCTGCTAGAAAGCTACAACCTAGTTGCCGTTACTGAAACTTGGAGGGATGAATTCCATGACTGGAGTCCCGGCTGTTGATGGCTACAGGCTGTTCAGAAGGGACAGGAGGGGTGGAGGGGTTGCCCTCTATATCAAGAAATGGATAGACTGTGAAGAGCTGTCTCTGAAGAATAGCCACAAGCAGGTTGAAAGCTTACGGGTAAGAATTAGAGACCAAGGCAACAAAGGGAACCTTGTGGTTGATGTCTACTACGGGCCTCCTGATCAAGGGGAGCCTATTGATGAAGCCTTCTTACTCCAGCTACAGCAGACATCGCGCTCACGGGCTCTCATCCTGCTGGGGGACCTCAGCCACCCCAACATCTGCTGGAAAGGTAGCATGGTGAGCTGTAGGCAATCCAGGAGACTTCTGGAGTGCATTGAAGATAACTTCTTAAGCCAGGTAATAGACAGCCCCACCAGAGGAGATGGATACTGGACTTGATAGTCATCAATGCAAGTGAGCCAATCGGTGGCATCAAGATTGGAAGAAACTTGGACTGCAGTGATCATGCACTGATGGAGTTTGCAGTCCTGAGGGATGTGGGTCAGGCAAGGAGTAAAGTCTGGACCCTGAATTTTAGGAAAGGAAATTTCCAGCTCTGCAAGGAGTTAGTCAATAGGACCTCCTGAAAGCCGCCTTTGGGGACAAGAGAGTAGAACAGAGCTGGTAGATCTTTAAGGATGCTTTCCATAAAGCTCAAGAGGTCTTGATCACCAGGTGTAAGAAATCAGGAAACGAAGACAAGAGACCAGGATGTCTGAGTCAAGACCTGCTGGTCAAACTGAAGGGCAAGAAGGAAGTGCACAGGCAGTGGAAGCAGGGACAGGTATTCTGGGAAAAGTACAGGGATGCTGCCTGGTTGTGTAGGGATGGGGTCAGGAAGGCCAAGGCTTAGATGGAGCTGAACTTGGCAAGGGACATGAAAAATAATAAGAAGGGCTTCTACAGGTATGTCAGCTGGAAAAGGAAGGTCAAAGAAAGTGTACCTGCCACCTCCAATGAGCAAGACTGGCAAACCGGTAACATGGACGAGAAGGCTGAGGTACTTAACAACTTTTTTTGCCTCAGTCTTCACTGGCAGTCTGTCTCTCCACACCTCTTGACTGGATGGACTGCAAGGCAGGGAATGGGTAAGAAAAGTCCCTCCCACTGTAAGACCAGGTTCGTGACCACCTGAGAAACCTGAACATACATAAGTCTATGGGACCTGACGAGGTGCATCCCACAGACCTGAGGGAATTGCCTGGTGTAGTTGCCAAGCCACTCTCCGTGATGTTTGAAAAGTCACGGCAGTCAGGTCAAGTCCCCAGGGACTGGAAAAAGGGAAACTTTGCACCCATTTTTAAAAAGAATATAAAGGGGGACCCTGGGAACTACTAACCTGTCAGACTCATGTGCCTGGGAGGATCATGGAAGAGATCCTTCTAGAAGCTCTCCTAACGCACATGGAGGACAGCGAGGTGATTTGAGACAGCCAGAATGGCTTCACCAAGGGCAAGTCATACCTTACCAACCTAGTGGCCTTCTATGATGGAGTGACTATATCAGCAGACAAGGGGAGAGCTACGGGTGTTGCCTATCTGGACTTCTGTAAGGTCCTCCACAACATCCTTGTCGCTCAATTTGAGAGATGCGGATTTGATGGGTGGACTGTTCGGTGGGTGAGGAATTGGTTGGATGGTCGCATCCAGAGAGTAGCGGTCAATGGCTTAATGTCCAGATGGAGATTGGTTGCAAGTGGTGTCCCTCAGGGGTCTGTATTGGGAGCAGTACTGTTCAATAACCTCATTGATGACATAGACAGTAGCATCAAGTGCACCCTCAGCAAGTTTACAGACAACACCAAGCTGAGTGGTGTGGTTGACATGCCTGAGGGACAAGATGCCATCCAGAGGGACCTGGACAAGCTCAAGACATGGGCCTGTGTGAACCTCATAAGGTTCAACAGGGCCAAGTGCAGGGTCCTGCACCTGGGTCTGGGCAACCCCTCGTATCAATACAGGCTGGGGGATGAAGGGATTGAGAGCAGCCCTGCCAAGAAGGACTTTGGCGTACTGGTGGATGAAAAGCTGGACATGAGCGGACAATGTCAGCCCAGAAGGCCAACCAACAGAAGAAGCATGGCCAGCAGGTTGAGGGAGGTGGTTCTACCCCTCTACTCTGCTCTGGTGAGACCCCACCTGGAGTTACTGTGTCCAGCTTTGGAGCCCTCAGTACAGGAAAGACATGGACCTGTTGGAGTGGGTCCAGAGGAGGGCCACAAAAATGATCAGAGGGATGGAACACCTCTCCTACAAGGACAGGCTGAGAGAGTTGGGGTTATTCAGCCTGGAGAAGAGAAGGCTCCAGGGAGACCTTACTGCAGCTTTCCAGTACTTAAAGGGGGCTTAGAAGAAAGATGGAGATAAACTTTTTAGCAGGGCCTGTTGCGATAGGGCAAGGGGTGATGGTTTTAAATTAAAAGAGGTTAGATTCAGGCTAGATATAAGGAAGAAATTTTTCACAGTGTGTGATGAAACACTGGAACAGGTTGCCCAGAGAGGTGGTAGATGCCCCATCCCTGAAAACATTCAAGGTCAGGTTGGATGGGGCCCTAAGCAGCCTGATCTCTAGTTGAAGATATGCTTGCTCATTGCAGGGGGTTTGGACTAGATGACCTTTAAAGGTCCTTTCCAACTATTCTATAATTCTATTAAATTAAATTTGGAGGCCCCATGAAACTGAAAGGATCTGCAGGTGCACTGAAGAACAGGCAGAATTCAGAAAGGTCTTATGAAATTGGAGAAACAGCCACAGAAAACAGGTGAATTTCAACAGGAGCAGCAGAGGAGTAGTGCACTAATCAAGAATAATCAACAGTACCCATGCAGAATGAAGAACAGCTGGTTATGAGTACTTTTCCAGAAAAAAACGGCTGATAGTAACAGTGGTTCATAAACTAATCATGAAGCAGTGTCGTCGTTCTGTTTTGAGAAAAGCAGAGATTGTGTACCAAGAACAGGCTCTCAAAGAGAAGCGTAATTTTCTACATCAGCCTATAACCCAACCTTCTTGAACTTGGCACTTGCTTTGGCAGCATGCCATGATAACGGAATTTAAGTGGTCTTAGGGGGCTTTACTGTTGCCAACAGCATTGCTGCTGCCTGCTGTAACCCAGTGGATCAAAGGGAGACCGGAGCCATGCTTCCCTCTGTCTGATCACAGCCAGCTTTTCACAAGGTGAGCCAAGGGGCAGGAAGTCCCCCAAGATCCATGGACTGGGAGGGCGTCAAGCTCCATTTCCCATAACCACGACAGAGACCAGCAAGTGAAAATACAACCGTCACGTCTTCTTCCTCCCACTTTCTATGAGATGATGTTGGTGGTTGGCACCTAAGTCAAAGAGTAGATTTAAGCATGTGGTTCCCAAATACTGTAAAGAGGGGCAACTTAATACATGTTTCCTCTTAACGCTGCTTTCTGATAGCTTGTTCTCACACTGTATATAGGCTTCTCTCAGCCACATCAGTAGCTGCACACATCTTTTTTGTGCATCCACTTAGGGCTTGAGATGCAGCCAAGCAGCCAGGAGAGGGTCCAGCAAAGGGCTACAAAGATGATTAGGGGACTGGAGCATCTTTCTTATGAGGAAGGGCTGAGGGACTTGGGTCTTTTTAGTCTAGAGAAAAGAAAATACTTAAAGGGAGGGTGCCAGGTAGATGCGAACAGTCTTTTTTCAGTGGTGCCCAGTGATAGAACAAGAGGTAACAGGCACAAACTTGAACATAGGAAGTTCCATCTAAACATGAGGAGGGACTTCTTTACTTTGAGGGCAGTGGAGCACTGGAAAGGCTGCCCAGAGAGGTTGTGGAGTCTCCCATGCTGGAGACGTTCAAAACCCGCCTCGACACCATCCTGTGCAACCTGTTGTAGGTGACCCTGCTCTGGCAGGGGGGTTGGACTAGATGACCTCCAGAGGTCCCTTCCAACCCTGACCATTCTGTGATTCATAACATAAAATATACTGCAGAATTTATTGAGTGAAGAATGCCTAAATTAATTTTTGTCAAACTGCCTTAAAAAAGTATATGCATGTATGCATATACTCACCATACTCAAAGTATGCATGCATACTCAAAGTATGCATGCTCACCATAATATTATTTGTAGAGTTCCGTGAAAACCTGTACATCCATTGCATAAGTTTTAATACAGCATTTTGACTTAAAGTATAAGTTATAAAGAAATGGCCATCAGTTGCAGGATTTCTCAATGAGCAGTCAGGCAAAAGGTCAAGCATGTAGGCAAATGTAATTTATTTTCATTAATGATCTGGAGGCACTTTTAAAACTAACCCTGATAAAATTTAACGGTAATATCTAACTGAAGATAACAAGAAAATGGAGGCAGAAAATTGAAAAGTCATGTGGCAAAGGCAGTCAGTTGAATGCAGTAGGAAATTCAGTAGCAAAAAAAGGTTGCATTTCTTGGAACGTTACACACAGACATAAAAAAATAAATAAAAAATTACTTCTGACCAGGAAAACAGCCTTCTGGAGGTTAGTTGAATTAGGAAGTAGAAAAGCCTTGGAACTCTGGCTCTGATCGACTAAAGGCACATCTCGTGTCGGGGTGCTTCCTGCGTCGGGTGGGGGGCAATGGAGCTGCTCAGTCCTCAGCAGCTCAGTTCACGCTTCTTGCTTTTCTGAGCGCTGGATGCGAAGCTCAATAGGCAGAAGGAGGAAGAAAGTCTATAGGTACTCCACTCTTCATCTCTACCACCTTCATACAAGAGAGGGCAGTGTTGTTATTTAGGAAGACTGGAAGGAAATGGATTAATTCATTCAAAAGAAATCAGTATCAAATAATTAGTTTGCATAAAAATGTTTACAGCATTTTTACTCAAATACTATTTGTGTGAGTTATCCCTAAAATTAATCTGTAAAAAAGGTAATATCTCTGGTAGACACAAAATAAAGTAATAATGTGATACAAAGTAATAAAGTGATATTACTTACCACATTGGTGAGAAGCTTTCAAAGAAATGTAAAGTTTTATTGGTTAAAAAAATAGCGAGTGGATGAAATTGCACAGAATTTGTCAAAGGTGTGATATGGATTCTTTTATATGTTATGGCTGGATAAATACTGCCTGGTTTTACACTCTGTTACTTTGTTGTATAATTGTCTTTTTTTTTTTCTTCTTTTTTTTTTTTTTTTTCTGGGTATCAGGTTGACAATACAAAACAAGTTTCCACCTTTCAGGAAGTCATTCGTGGAGAGGGGATATTGCCCGATGGTGGAGAGTACAAGCCACCTTCTGATACACTGAAAAGCAGAGACTATTACTCGGATTTCCTAATTACTCTGGCAGTGCCCTCGGCAATAGCACTGGTGCTTTTTCTAATACTTGCCTATATCATGTGCTGCCGACGGGAAGGAGTGTGAGTACTTTAACAGACTAATAAGTAATTGTAGATTTTTCTAAGATTTTAATGCACAGAAGAATATTTGTTGGAGGAATCCCATTCAGTTCATTAAAAACATTTAAAACAGGCCAAAAGATATCTGCTTGAAATATTGAACTATATCTAATCTAAGCACATACGGTAATTTCCAAGAGAGTTGATATAGGGCCTTTAATTGTTCTAGTTGAAAGGATTAAAAATCTCAATATATGCACAAAACTCCACAAGATCTCCACATATGCACAACTCTCCAAAATGCCCCGAACAAATAAATTACTAATAAAGGATCATTGATTCAGGATAATATTAAGTAATTTCTAAAATGCTAACTTTTATAAAATAAATCTGGTTGAGGATATGAACTGAATTTAGACATACTATAAAAGAAAAACACATAAAAGGAAAGCAGCAAGTAACGTAATTTCTGCCATTTCTTACACAAACTACAATTTCATTCTGTCACGGAATTTATTTTAGCCAGAAGCTTGTTCTTTAACTTGCCTTTTCATTTCTCTGTGTGTGTGCGTCTGTGTGTGTGTCTGTCATCGTATCACATCTCTATACGTGCGTTCATCAAAGCCTCATCACAAACCCAGTTGCAAATGCTGCCAAGTTGCGTTTAGCAATAACCTTGTCAGCATTTCTACATCATGTACTATTTTCATCATCAGATAGATTTAATGTTCCAACTATCAATGCTATTATTTAATTCATAAATTTTGTTTTGTTTTTAGGGAAAAGAGAAACATGCAAACACCAGAGTAAGTGTCTTCTTTCCTGTTATTTTTCTTTTACCATTTAATTTTCATTCTCAGTAGCTTGTCATGCTTCATTCATGTGTGTCATAATCTTCTTTCATTCTCTCTAATCCATGGTTTAATTCATAAATGTGAAAGCTGCTTTTAAATCAGAGTCTTGGCAAGGATAGAAAACCAGAATAAAAAGGGTTTGAAATTAATGACTGTCAATTCAAAATAAAATAGTGCTGTTAGAGTAAATATGTTAATCTGTAATTTATACTCCTGGTTATTGGACTTCCCAGCCTATATCTTAAAGGCAGTGGACAGGGGAACAAATATCCTGGAAGGTCTCCAGTGCCTATACTATGGAGTGTTTTAAAATTTATCTATGAGTTTTTTATGCATCTACCGCAAGAATCAGGAGTTAACCAAAACTTTTATTTTAACTGCAGCAAATAAATGGAACGTTAGCAGCAAATTGCAGAGTCTTGGATCCTATGAAAAGTACTTATCCAGACAGCAAAATCTAATGGAATAATTACTGCCTTAAAAATTAAATAAATCAAATATTTACTAAACTAACTATGTAAAGGTTTACTGTAATTGCAGCACTATAGAGTCTGTAGCGTGCATCGAAGTCCTTGTACTTTTAAGAAAAATAATAATTGTGAAAGTCTATCCATTTTGATAGAGCATTTAAAATATGTATTTACTATTTTATTTCCTTTTGGCATAGCATCCAGTTGGTGCACCACAGTGCTATACAGAAATCAACCAAAGAGCTTCGTGACATGTCTAAAAACAGAGAGATAGCATGGCCGCTTTCTACGCTTCCTGTGTTTCACCCGGTTACTGGTGAGATTGTACCAGCCCTTCACACGGACACCTACGATAATACCAGTATGCCACTGATGCAAACGCAACAGTAAGTATTTACATTTTATTTTATTTTTTGATAGTCGTAATGTTACACGATTTAACTATGGATTCCAGTGCTTCTCATCTGACACGTGTTTATTATGGAGGTATCAGTAATGGCTCTGTAGTTCAAGATCGCTCTGACGTTTGCATTTCGAGCAGAAAGAAAGGCTTTCTGTTTATAAAATCAAAATGCTGGATTTCAGCCTGAAGCCTTGGCAAGAAGCTTTGCATGGAACAGTTACATTTCTGCATATTTTGGGGCAAAACTACTTGTGACAGAGGAATCAATTAAAACACTTCTATTTTAGACACCCTACCTCTTAGCCCATGTCTTTGGAGTTCTCACATAAAACTACCGCCAGGTTGGTAGTTCCATACCGGAAAATCCAGACTTTGTAAGTATTTGCTGGTGTACCTGTCACACGTGGTTTATGTTTGAAATGTTAACATTGAACAGAAGAGCATATTCCATTACACAGACAGTAAACACAGACTTGCCAATGAAGATATTCAGAGGTCTCAGCTGTTTCCATCGCTGGCAGCTTCCCTCCAAGGCAGAAACCAGAAGAATATTCATTTCTGTTCCTTAAAGTTCACTTATCAGTAACTTAATGAAACTATTGAGCCAGACCCACCTGGTGCTTTGCACGTGTTCTAATTCAGACAAGTCGGTTGTGCTGTAGAAAAAAGCTATTTCTAGAAAGGTTTGGTTGAGGTATCTGGGGTTGAGCAGATCCGAGGCGCGGTGGGTGGTCTCCGAAGCGGCTGGCATCGGTCTTTCGGTGCCGTGCTGTGACACTGGCTGCAGTCGGTAGCTCCTCGGCAGGCAGGCCTGCACGGCCCCAGTGATACTAGTCCAGTGCCAGCCCTAACTTGGCCCTGATTTACACGTTCGCCCTGAATTCTCTACACGTTGTAGATACGTCCTAGAAGAGTGTTTTCTTCTCTCTGTCCCAAAGCTAAATTCTCCAGAAAGTACGGCTGTATAAATTATTCCTTGTATAACTGCTGCAAAGTGTTCTATCCTGTATTTTACAGTTTATTCAGAATAACAATTTTTTATGACTGTACCAAAGGCTTTCTTACACTGTACGTAAAAGTTTTTATCTGCTTCACCTACATTCCAACCCCTAATTCTTTACTGTAAAAACAATGTTAATATCTGGTAGCTGTTAGAATGGACACTTAAGCAGGACACAAAAATATAACTTTGCCTTGGTAAGTGAACTGGTCCGATGCATGAAGCTAGCTGACCATTCACTCATTCCACAGTCAATAATTAAGTTGCAAAGACTGTCAGCTTTTCTCTGTTCATCACTTATGGAGAGCACACTTTGCATAACGTCAGAAACCTGCAGCGACTCTTGTTAGCTCTGGCGTTTCACCAAGTCTGAGCCTTTGAACCTCGGTGACGAGTGAAGTAATAGGAACTACCCCTTAACACTGATTTTCTTTATTTCATTGACTGAGCTAACCTTTTGACAACTGTATTTGCATAGTGAAAATGGATTATTGCTTCATAAGCAAAAAAAAAAAAAAAAAGGAAGTTTAAATACTAAACTTTCATGCATAGTATATTTCAGACTTTGTATGGAAGCATTAAAGATACTAAATTGTTTTTTGTAGGAACCTGCCGCATCAGACTCGGATTCCACAGCAGCAGAGTGGAGGTCAGTACTGAGAAAATATTGTAACTATTAAGTGACCAGTGCAGAGGAATCACTAGTCAAAACACATACAGTCTATGGACAGTGGAAACTATTTTCAAATGTAGTAAAGTAGATTTTTTAGTAGTAGTAAATTTTTTTTTGATACAGCGGTGAAAATTTTGGGATGGGATTGATTGAGCAGGTTGGAGAAATGTTAATGTTGGGACTCGGCATGAGACACTGGAATCTGGTACAGCAAAGTTGGAAACCTCCTCATGGAAATAATTTTCGATTACAACATGAAGCCACTGCCAGATTCCCAAATACGGTTACACTGTCCAGATTCCTGAAAACTTGATAGGAAATCAAAATTTCTGGTTCCCACCAATACTAGTTAAGCTCTGAAGAAGGAGGTCTTTATTGCTGTTACTAAACATAAAGACTTGATATTGGGGCATCTGTGGCGAGGGACATATCCACGCTGCAGGTTTCCCATGTCTTAGTCGTCACTTTTGTATCATTTTCACAAATCCTGATGTACCAACTGAGGTCGTGAATGATCCCATCGGAGTATCAACTAAGGCTGATTGTTCTCTCTGGGTAGCGTATCAGGTCAGAGAAAAAGCTACAGCTGTAGCCATGTGAAAGGGGATAAGGATCATACAAGGAAAATGTAGAGGCCGAAGTATAATTTTTGAATATTCAAAGATGTGTACAGGCAAAACTCTCTCTCTATATATATATGTATTGAACGTAATACGGGAACTATAGCTCCAAGAGGAAGACTTGTTTTAACTTAGGAGTTACATGAGAAACTCTTTTCATTCAAAATCCTTCTTCTTCATTACTGCTTTCGGGGATTAAAGGAGAATTTCGTATGACAACATTTCAAAGATTTGAGGCAAGTATATAAAGGATGCTTCTGCCCATTTTTTTTTTTTTTGTTATCTGGAAATCAAAAACACATTTATAAAAAACAAACAAACAAACAAAATCAACAAACAAACAAACCCCCAAACAACCTGACTGCAGTTCTGCTACCTTTTGCTATTTGTGTGCTGCTTTATACATGTATTGGAAATGGCAGTATCCATCCAGAGCCTCCAGCACTGGTTTGGGTTGACATTTAGCATAGCTGTTAACACCCAGTACTGCTGGCATTTAGAAGGCAGAATAAAAATGTCACACGGTTCAGCTCTTCCATTATGACTGTCTTGTTACAAGTACTCCAGTCTGTCTTGCAGTAAAAAAGATGCAAAATCACCTAGTAATGCTGTATGTTGACAGCAGTGAGAAATTTTTCAAAAGGTGTGAAATAAAAGCTAGCATTGGGTTTGTCGCTTGCAAGTCACACTGAAGAACTGCCATAAAAATAGATCTTAAAAATCCTCCCATGTCTGTATTTTCTGTAGTACATTATTTTGGTAGAATACACCAGTTCTTTCATATTCATCACAGACGCTGCCTGTGACAAGCTCTCAGAAATCGGGGGGGTGAGAAAATGTATTTGGGACCAATGTTTCCTCCTTTTCTCTTAGTTTACAATGACACTTTCCTTCGTAACTCAGATGTGCAGATGATGCTGGAAGCACTTCCGTGACGTGGTGGCACGTGCCTCTTGCAGTTTGTCTTCTAAAGGGTATCTCTGACTGGTGTTGTCAGAAGGTTAGATTTTTAGAATGTTATGAGGTAAACCGAAATTCAGGCGGTCCTAAGATTTTTAGTAGCACCAGTACAAACTTAGCAATCAATTGTATTGATCTGTTCAAATAAGAAATTTACAGCGCTAAAACGCTTAAGGCCAAAAAACCTGTAGAACTAGACAGACGTTTAATTTTCTTCCTTTCCTGCAGAAAATTCCCAATAATATACTCAGGATTATTAACATACTATCAGTCACTGCCGTAAAAGAAGATATGTCTATTTTAAAGCTTCAGTAGACCATACTTAATAATTTGAAGAGTCTAATAACCACTATCCTCTTCAAGAACTATCTGAATCCCCGATTGGAAACAATTTGTTTTTAACCTTATATAACAATGCAGATTTAATAGCTGACCTAATGCTCGACTGTTTCACGAAGTTAAAACAATAACTGCGAAAGAACTGTATGAAAGCTCACAACTCGCATCTAATGGCTATATGACACTGCTGAAAATTGCTACCGGTCTCCAATATGAAAAGGCGTATTAAGTTTGAATTGTCTCTCTGTCGATTGGCAGAATTCATGGGGACTGTTTTAAGGTTCTCAGATGAAAATGTTTGTAGGATAGTACTATAATGCAAAAGACTAAATAGTACATATACACCGTATACTGCATTTTTCCACTTTGAGCTTCACAGTCTCCCTATGAAGTCTGTTAGATCCCAAGCAGAAAGATAAATTTCCGGTTAAACAACCTTTTCCCAGATCTCTCCCTTCCCAGAAGAAAGCAAGCAGAGCTTTTTCATGTGTATGTTGTCTTTTGGTCCTGGTTGTACTTGTGTTTCTCCAGTGTGGCTGTTGATAAAGGACTGATAGATACTATTGATGTGCTGTGCTACCAGTGGACAGTTCAGAAGCGTTGAAGCATCGTCTGCCACTGATGGATTATATAAATTCTCATCTATTTGCAGGTAAATGGTATTCCTGAGGAAAGAAAACTAACAGAAGCAATGAATTTGTAATCGGAGAAGGCAGCAAATTGTCTTATTTCCTTATTTGTTCTGATTGATGCATGAGTTTTTCTGGTGTATATTGTGCATGCCCATAGTATTAAGATGATTTCAGTGCCGGAGAGTACAATCACTTCCATATAACTAATGTACTGTACCCTTTTGTACTTCGGACATTTTTGACAATTTGTAAACACTGATAACTTTTTATATTTGTTACATTCAGAAAATAATCTTTCAAATATATGTATTAATAAATATCAAACTTTATTCTGTCTTGTGATGTCTTCTGAAAGTTTTAACAGGGAAATCAAAACTTCAAAATAAGCACCAGGTTGAAAGGATTTCAGGCTCTGTTCAGTGGGCTGATAGAACTGCCTTACGTCTGCACACGAAAAGCAGTGGTGTATCAGCATGGAAACTTGTGCAATGTGGTGAGGCTCAGAAATAGTATTCCAGATTTATTAGGCATTAATTTTGTAGAGATTATCAAAATGTAACGAGCAAAGTTATTTTTTGAAGAAAAAAAATCCAAAACACCAAAAACCCAGACCAAAAAACCTAAAACTATTCCTGTTGAAAATTGGATTTCTGTTTCTTTACCAGATATTTACCCTATTTGACAACTTTGTAAGCAATAAAACATTTAAAATCTGTCCATTCATTCATCTGGTTATGTTAGAAGAAACTGTTATAAACTACTGTAGGCAGAAATTCATGTCTGCAAATAAACAAGGGTAAACTTGTTACAGTATATACAGACTTCTAACGTTTTAAAAATACTCTTGACATTTTTTTTGGTGATATTCCCAATGCCTCAGTGCGGTTTATTTTTTATATCCTCCACGTTCTCTGTTCTTTTTGGAGCAAAGAGTTGTGGAAGAACTAGCTATCCAAAAAAAGCAGGCTTATTTTTTAGCATCTTGAAAAGGAGTTGATGAAATTCCTAATTCCTGGGAGGTGGCTACTTTGAGAGGCATTTGTCTATGCAGCTGAAAGTTTAATAATGTGAACTTTGTTAAAAGGATCTGAACAGAGGTTTCCTAAGTTTTTCAATAGATGGTGGTAATTTATTTCCAGATGCTTTTCTGCATATTCTGATTTTTTTCTGATGCTTCTTTAAATCCTCAAATACCGTGTAACACAGGACTTGGGGTCTCCAGCTGTAACAGCTCACACCAACAGTTCTTGGGGTTTTTGCCTCAACGCATCATACCGTTTTAAACTAACACTTAAGCTTTGTCTTTTTTCTATAATATTTTCTCTTTCAGAAGCTGTATGTTCATCAGGACATTGCATTGTAAGCAGAAACCTGCGTCTGCTTTAAATACGCTAAATGCTGGCGACATTGCCTTAGCTGAGGTTTCTGAGGTCTCTGCTAAGAGAAACTGAGTAATTTAGGCAATTTAGGCAAACTCTGAGTAATTTAAGAAACTGTAAAATAAGTTTATAGAGTTTGTAGAATGACCAAAGTAGTCGCTGGCCTTTTTTTTTTTTTTCCCCTCTTTTTGCAGTTATGACCCTGTTCCTTCAAAACACAAAACCTTATTTTCTTTGCTTAAAAATGAACATAATGTGTTTATAGGTTTGGACCTGAATGCAGCACCTCGGCAGATAAGTTAAAAAAGTCCTGAGCTGTTTTTTAGGCACATTTTGAGCAACAACTATGACAACTATTGCAGCAAAGTATATAATCAGTGCTTAGTACGTTGTACGCACTTGTAAATATTGTCAAGCCTTAGGTGGAGTTTGCAAGGCTGCCCTGAATGCCATGCACAACCCACGGAACACGTTAACGACTCCATCTAGCCATAGGAACGGTGCTGGTGGGTATCGCACGGGGAGAGGCAGCTCAAGCCGCAGTCACACAAGTTGAAAAACTAAAAGTCAGTTTCTGAAACAGTCAGACGAGAAAGCCATTCCTACTTACTTTCCGAGTGGGGTGCATCACACCTACCTCATCCAAAAGGTACCAGGGAAGACATTCCATCAGTCGATCAGCCTCCTAAGGGACCCCTCCTTTTTTCCAGCAGCTTGGATGGTTAGCGGTGAAAAGTGAATTAGAAAACCGCACGCTGAGGTTTATAGTACATTAAAAATTTCCATCTTTTATCCAAGCTGTGAAAAAATTTCAGTACAGTCAGCATTTGGTTTCTACTACTGTTTTCAAATGTATGAGCTGTCAGTGCTTTGAAACAGAAATGAATGGAATGGATTTTAAATAATTATTTTTAATGCAATGTAAGACTAAACTTTGTAAATAATACTGGTTTTGGATCATAACAATTTCTGCTAACTTGAGGATGACATGACAATCAACTAGCTACCAGTTGAGCCGCTCCCATCTTATTTGTATTAATGTGGAACAGTGCACATAAATATATTTAAGGGAATTTCTTAAACTGTTATATACATGCATAAAGAATCAGTTTGTACCAGTGGGTGCTCCACTTACTTATTCTGAAAATAATCTAGTGATGTAGGTGTGTGTCTTGGGTAGTAAGCACACCTGAACTATTTTATCATTGAGAGCTTCATTTATTTGAGGTAAGTTTAATATCAAAATATTTATTTTTACTTATTAAAGCAATTACTATGGAAGCATAGATTTATAAAGCTGTCTAAAGATATGTAATGGCTAAAGAGTTAGTTAAAAGTGACAATATTTAAAACAGTAAATTCACAGCCTCTTTTAACGATGTATGATGAGAGGATGAACTGATACTGTATTGATTAAGTGATGATTGCAACCAAATTAAGTGGAAAGTACTACCGCTGTCTTTGTAAATATACGAAATGTAAAATCTAATAAACAGGGAAACATTAAATAGTGATGCTGTTGCCTGGTTATTTTACATGGTGAGGCCTGAACAACTTTGTGTTACAGTTGTTAACGCTATGGGCAGCGATGCTGGATGGTGTCCAAGAATGAAGGTGGAACTGATTGTGCGGGGTTCCTGTTTAGCTGGGGGAGATGCTGCAATAGGTGTAGTGACTGGAAAGGATGGAGAGTATTTGCACCACCTAGTCCAGGTGCCCACGTTAGATGTTGTCTCCCTGATTATACAAGGAGCTTTGGGGACAGGAACTACCACTCTGAATCCTTTGATTAAGGAGCCCCTTCTTCTCTTTAGCGTGAGACTTAAGTACCTAAATGAAAAGCTAAATTGTTTAACCCAAACAAATCTTAAGGATGGGTTTCTTCATGTTGCCAGACCAAAGAAAAGCCAAAAGTCAGTTCCTCTGCTTTCACACACAGCACTGCCAGAGCATCTCTGGCTTGTAACCAGTGGGAGAAAGTATCTGCCACCTCTGCTGTGGAGTTTCATTGAAGTCCCCTGAGCTCCAGGGGTGGTTTTGGCTGTAATTTCATCTGACGTGGGACAGTGCGATTTACTGCAGAAGAATCTTTCTTCCTGCATTGCATCTGAAATCTAATGTGATACAAGTTAATTAATTAAGCCCTTAATTTGAAGTAGTGGTATTCAGAATACCACTTTGGAGAAACTCTGCAATACTAATCTGTGATGTTAAGGTAGGCACAGTAGTGAACTGGAGCTCAGCTAGAGCCAAGCAAGAAGTTTTTACTGAACTGATGCTGCTCCCATTACAAAAATAGGCAACCACAGCACATTTATTTAATGTTTAAATTACGTCATATTTTTACATAACTTGAAAAGAAAATATATTTATCCCACATACAGTAATAGTAAACAAGTGCATTATTTCAAACATTAAAAATAAATCTTTTAACCAAGTCTGTACAACAGATAAATAAAATTATATCTACAATACTTAAGTTGTGAAGAACAAAACAAAAATTATCGCTCAAACTCACAGTTCCCCATTGCTCCTAATACTGGCATAGATGAAGGTTATGCGTCCTGTCCCCCACTCCAGCGTTCACCTATACCATGTCTTCCATTCAGACGTACGGATGAAGGAGGTTAACCTTCCAACCGTTGGAAGTAACGCACGCAAAGAACAAATAGCTGAGTAGCTTTCCAATAGCTTCAAAACAGTTGGCAGACTTAGTAAAATTGCTGAATCCGGGGGAAGTGAAGGATTTTTTTTTCTTTTTTATGATGAATGACTGGTCATTCTTTAAAAGAAACTGTTCTCCACCAAAAAAAAAAATAAATAATGAAGCCATTCTTGTAATAAATTTTTTTTGCACTCATTGGTGGCTGCAAGTTTGAATTCAGTTTTTTAACTGGGAAAGGTGAAACACATGTACATATGGTATAAATTAGGATTCATATTGTTTATAATCATACATAATTGCACATATGCTTGGAAAACAATATTGTGCTCATCTTTTTGACTGCTAACAAGTAATCAGTAGAAGAATAAAATGAAAAGGCAACTAGAGGTCAAACTATCACTTGAACCAAAACCACAAACAGCGAAGAAATGACCATAATTTCGCTGAATAAAAGGAACGTAAATTACAGCTTGTCACTGCCACACTGAAGGGCTATTTCTTTCAATTTTACTTTTTATGCTAAAGGAAAGAGTTACTAAGAAAGATGGGCACTGCTAGAAAGGATGGGAAAAAAGGTTCCTCCAAACAGCTCCAATCTCATTTCATTTGTAGTTCTGATTCCACCATCTGCATGCAGACAGACTGACCACTCAATCCCTCCTCCTCCTGATGTCAACAGGTTGACTTGCATCCTTGACTCACATCCTTTTACATGAAAATATTATTACAGGATAGAATATGGCACCAGTTCCCCAATGACACCTCGTTCAAGGCACCTACAAATTCAGAGAGAGGTTCGAAGATCACTCTTCCCCTGTTCTCCCGTTTCCTTAAGATCTGATGGAGTGGATACGATGGGATTTCATCTGACTGGAAAAGGCTGGAGGTCTTCCAAAAATTCTCCATCTTCAACTGAGTCTCTGAAAATTATTCATTGTTGTTCACTGGGATTTTACAGAGAAGTGTACATAGTTAAATGAATTAGTGAAAAATTAATGAAAAAGCCAACAATTTTAGGGAAAAAGAA